GTGCGTGTGTTTGTGTGTGTTGTGTGTGTGTGTGTGTGTTGTGTGTGTGTGTGTGTGTGTGTGTGTGTGGTGTATGTGTGTGTGCGTGCGCGCGCGCGTGTGTGTGTGTGCGTTTGTGTATGTGTGCGTGTGTGTGTGTATGTATGCGGTGTGTGTGTGTGTGTGTGTGCGCGTGCGCGCGTGTGAGTGCGTGTGCGTCTTTGCGTCTTTGTGATCGTCTTTGCACCACAAAATAAGCAGACACAACATAACCTAATATGGAAGTCTCATTTCTTGCCTAACAAAACGGCTTATGCGAACCTTCCCTTGTGCGTTCAAATGGCCATGTGTCCAGAGTCCGTTAAACTGTTCCCTGTGGAAATGTGGTGAGATGAGAGAACGCCTTTTCACAGCGGGCGCTTTGAGGGGACAATTATGGATGGCTGTTGCGTGAGGAGACTGGCAAAAACAAACATAAGATAAGTCATAGTCGACGTATAGATCAGACAGCATTTTGTTGGTCCATTGAAGTCATTGTCAATGTCACAATGTTCAATGCAAAGCGTGCAGTACAATACTGTATTTCTTTTATGAACAACAAAGCAGACTCAATGAAGTGTCTTCAACATGGGTTTGAGGGACGGTTACTTATTTCTGCGGTGTTCTCCGTTGATATATTCTCAATGGTTAGAATGCCTGTGTCTCCGTCTGAAAAGGAAATTCAAGATCAGGAAAATCACGATCAGCTGTACTGAAGGTAGTTCCTCATCTGGATCCAAGAGGTACTCTCCCAGCAGGGGTTTGTGGGGAAGATTGTTACCTTTCTATATGTGCCCCTTTTTTCTGTCCCTACCCCTACCCATACACAGAAAGGAAACAATCTTCCCCACCAACCTCTGCTTGGAGAGTACCAGGAGGACGCTCCTCCCCCATCAGTGTGACGTTGTCGCCAGTCCGCTTCAATGGCGGCATACCGATCTGATGATGAGCGACCTCCATGTACTTCCGGTTGCAGCTCACGTGGCTGGACGGATGCCGCTGCATTTGAAATTCATTTTCTAGGTGACTTTGCTACTTAGTTTTGGCTTTCCTTTGTTACGTGAGCCATGCCGACGTTTGATCCTGTAATCAATACATACTTGTGGGTAATACCGCGGGTAGCGGGGTGGACGGTAACAGATGCTACAAAAGAGTTGGTGGGTGGGTCGGTTGGTGACTTACGGACCGTGATGCTGTGGAGGAGTGATGGAACGAATGAGTGGGTGGATGGGTGGATCATCAGGCAATAACGGATGCCGCGGAAGGCTTATCGTACGCACACATTTGGCACACTTAACTGACGTCATTTATCTATTCCGTAAAATCAAACCACAAATGAATAACTTGAGGTAGTCAAACTCTTGCGGAGTTTTAATGTACCTCTTTAGATGGATTTCAATGTTTGTTTTCTGGCTTTGAGGAAATGGATACCATGCATCGTCTTACACCACCGAAATTGGCTTTCAATCGCTTGTGGTAAACGGTCGCACTGTGTTAAACACTACCGTTGAGTACTTTGAGTCTGTAAGTACATGCCGCTTTTGGAACTGAGATTTCGGGCCATCTCACATCCGGGTGTTGCTTTTTTCAACAAGTGTGGAGGGTTTATGAACATTATAAAAGTGATTCCTCCCACTACTGAACGCGAAAATTTAGAAATATACAGAAATACAGAATGTATAGAGTGTCGTAAGTGTTTGTGTGGAATTCCGTTCCGTTAGAGAGTGACAAAGGCCATATAGACTGTCCTTGGTGCTGAGGAGCGGATAGTATACTGAGCAAAAAAGTAC